TGCTTTAGTTTTTGCTTGTAAGTAGGATTCAGGAGGATAGAATTATGGTCAGATTTGCCAAATGGAGGGCGAGGGAGAGCTTTGTACGCGTCTCTGTGTGTGGAGTAAAGGTGGTCTAGAGATTTTTCCCCTCTAGTTGCACATTTAACATGCTGGTAGATATGAGGTAAAACAGATTTAAGTTTCCCTGCATTAAAGTCCCCGGCCACTAGGAGCGCCGCCTCTTGATGAGCGTTTTCCTGTTTGCTTATGGCCAAATACAGTTCATTGAGTGCGGTCTTAGTGCCAGCATCGGTTTGTGGTGGTAAATCGACAGCTACGAAGAATATAGATGTAAACTCTCTTGGTAGATAGTGTGGTCTACAGCTTATCATGAGATACTCTAGCTCAGGTGAGCAAAACCTCGAGACTTCCTTAGATATTGTGCATCAGTTGTTGTTTACAAATATACGTAGACCACCACCCCTTGTCTTACATTTACATTTAAGTCATTTAGCAGACGCTCTTATCCAGAGTGACTTACAAATTGGTGCATTCAACTTAGGATAGCCAGTGGGACAACTACCACTGGGGGAGGGGGGGGGGGGGGGGGGGGGGGGGGGGGGGGGGGGGGGTAGAAGGATTACTGTTAGACTATTCCAGGTATTCCTTAAAGAGGTAGGGTTTCAAGTGTCTCCGGAAGGTGGTCAGTGACTCCGCTGTCCTGGCGTCGTGGGGGAGCTTGTTCCACCATTGGGATGCCAGAGCAGGGAATAGCTTTGACTGGGCTGAGCGGGAACTGTGCTTCCGTAGAGGTAGGGGGGCTAGCAGGCCAGAGGTGGATGAACGTAGTGCCCTCGTTTGGGTGTAGGGTCTGATCAGAGCCTGAAGGTAAGGAGATGCCGTTCCCCTCACAGCTCCGTAGGCAAGCACCATGGTTTTGTAGTAGATGTGAGCTTCAACTGGAAGCCAGTGGAGTGTGCGGAGGAGCGGGGTGACATGAGAGAACTTGGGAAGGTTGAACACCAGACGGTCTGCAGCGTTCTGGATAAGTTGTAGGGGTTTAATGGCACAGGCAGGGAGCACAGCCAACAGCAAGTTGCAGTAATCCAGACGGGAGATGACAAGTGCCTGGATTAGGACCTGTGCCGCTTTCTGTGTAAGGTAGGGTCGTACTCTGCGAATGTAGAGCATGAACCTGCAGGATCGGGTCACTGCTTTGATGTTAGTGGAGAACGACAGGGTGTTATCCAGGGTCACGACAAGGTTCTTTGCACTCTGGGAGGAGGACACAATGGAGTTGTCAACCGTGATGGCGAGATCATGGAGCGGGCAGTCCTTCTCCGGGAGGAAGAGCAGCTCCTTCTTGCCGAGGTTCAGCTTTAGGTGGTGATCCGACATCCACACTGATATGTCTGCCAGACATGCAGAGATGCGATTCGCCACCTGATTATCAGAAGGGGGAAAGGAGAATATTAATTGTGTGTTGTCTGCGTAGCAATGATAGGAGAGACCATGTGAGGATATGACAGAGCCAAGTGACTTAGAGAATAGGAGAGCACCTAGAACTGAGCCCTGGGGGACACCAGTGGTGAGAGCATGTGGTGCGGAGACAGATTCTCGCCACGCCACCTTGTAGGAGCGACCTGTCAGGTAGGACGCAATCCAAGAGTGAGCAGCGCCGGAGATGCCCAACTCAGAGAGGGTGGCGAGGAGGTGCCCCGTGTAGCTCAGTTGGTAGAGCATGGCGCTTGCAACGCCAGGGTTGTGGGTTCGATTCCCACGGGGGGCCAGTATGAAAAAACTAATGTATTCATTCACTAACAGTAAGTCACTCTGGATAAGAGTGTCTGCTAAATGACTAAAATGTAAATGGTTCACAGTATCAAAGGCAGCAGATAGGATAAGAACAGAGGAGAAAGAGTTAGCTTTAGTAGTGTGGAGAGCCTCCGTGACACAGAGAAGAGCAGTCTCAGTTGAATGACCAGTCTTGAAACCTGACTGGTTTGGATCAAGAAGGTCATTCTGAGAGAGATAGCAGGAGAGTTGGCTAGAGACGGCATGCTCAAGAGTTTTGGAGAGAAAAGAAAGAAGGGATACTGGTCTGTAGTTGTTGACATCGGAGGGATCGAGTGTAGGTTTTTTGAGGAGGGGTGCAACTTTCGCTCTCTTGAAGACGGAAGGGACATAGCCAGCGGTCAAGGATGAGTTGATGAGCGAGGTGAGGTAAGGTAAGGGAGAAGGTCTCCGGAAATGGTCTGTAGAAGAGAGGAGGAGATAGGGTCATGCGGGCAGGTTGTTGGGTGGCCGGCCGTCACAAGTCACAAGATTTCATCTGGAGAGAGAGGGGAGAAAGAAGTCAAAGCATAGGGTAGGGCAGTGTGAGCAGGACCAGCGGTGTCATTTGACTTAATAAATGAGGATCGGATGTCGTTAACCTTCTTTTCAAAATGATTGACGAAGTCATCCACAGAGAGGGAGGAGGGAGGGGGAGGAGGAGGAGGATTCAGCAGGGAGGAGAAGGTGGCAAAGAGCTTCCTAGGGTTAGAGGCAGAGGCTTGAAATGTAGAGTGGTAGAAAGTGGCTTTAGCAGCAGAAACAGAGGAAGAAAATGTAGAGAGGAGGGAGTGAAAAGATGACAGGTCCGCAGGGAGTCTAGTTTTCCTCCATTTCCGCTCGGCTGCCCGGAGCCCTGTTCTGTGAGCTCGCAATGAGTCGTCAAGCCACGGAGCAGGAGGGAAGGACCGAGCCGGCCGGGAGGATATGGGACATAGAGAGTCAAAAGATGCAGAAAGGGAGGAGAGGAGGGTTGAGGAGGCAGAATCAGGAGATCGGAGGGAGAAGGATTTAGCAGAGGGAAGAGATGATAGGATGGAAGAGGAGAGAGTAGCGGGAGAGAGAGAGCGAAGGTTGCTACGGCACATTACCATCTGAGTAGGGGCAGAGTGAGTAGTGTTGGAGGAGAGCGAGAGAGAAAAGGATACAAAGTAGTGGTCGGAGACTTGGAGGGGAGTTGCAGTGAGATTAGTAGAAGAACAGCATCTAGTAAAGATGAGGTAAAGCGTATTGCCTGCCTTGTGAGTAGGGGGGGACGGTGAGAGGGTGAGGTCAAAAGAGCAAAGGAGTGGAAAGAAGGAGGCAGAGAGAAATGAGTCAAAGGCAGACGTAGGGAGGTTAAAGTCACCCAGAACTGTGAGGGGTGAGCCATCCTCAGGAAAGGAACTTATCAAGGCGTCAAGCTCATTGGTGATCTCTCCAAGGGAACCTGGAGGGCGATAAATGATAAGGATGTTAAGCTTGAATGGGCTAGTGACTGTGACAGCATGGAATTCAAATGAGGAGATAGACAGATGGGTCAGGGGGAAAAGAGAGAATGTCCACTTGGGAGAGATGAGGATTCCTGTGCCACCGCCCCGCTGACCAGATGCTCTCGGGGTATGCGAGAACACATGATCAGACGAGGAAAGGGCAGTAGGAGTAGCAGTGTTTGTCTTACCAGAGGCTGCCATTCTATCCATCCGATACAGCGTAAAACCCGCCAGCTGTATGTTATTGAGATTCATCAAATTGCCACCCTTTGCCTTGATGACAGCTTTGCACACTCTTAGCATTCTCTCAACCAGCTTCATGAGGTAGTGACCTGGAATGCATTTCAATTAACAGGTCTGCCTTCTTAAAAGTTCATTTGTGTTATTTCTTTCCTTCTTAATGCGTTTGAGCCAATCAGTTGTGTTGTGACAAGGTAGGGGGGGTATACAGAAGATATTCCTATTTGGTAAAGGACCAACTCCATATGAAGGCCTGATTCACACAGTCTCCTCTGAACAGTTGATGTTGAGATGTATTTATTTGGACTGCAATTTCTGAGGCTGGTAACTCTAATGAACTTATCCTCTGCAGAACTCTGCGTCTTCCATTCCTGTGGCGGTCCTCATGAGAGCCAGTTTCATCATAGCACTTGATGTTTTTTGCGACTTTTGCAATTTTCCGTATTGACTGACCTTCATGTCTTAAAGTAATGATGGACTGTTGTTTCTCTTTGCTTATTTGAGCTGTTCTTGCCATAATATGGACTTGGTCTTTTACCAAATAGGGCTATCTTCTGTATACCCCCCTTACCTTGTCACAACACAACTGATTGGCTCAAACGCATTAAGAAGGAAATAAATTCCACAAATTAACTTTTAAGAAGACAGACCTGTTAATTGAAATGAATTCCAGGTGACTACCTCATGAAGCTGGTTGAGAGAATGCCAAGAGTGTGTAAAGCTGTCATCAAGGCAAAGGGTGACTATTTGATGAATCTCAAATATAAAATATATTTTGATTTGTTTAACACTTTTTTGGTTACTACATGATTCCAAGTGTTATTTCATAGTTTTGATGTCTTCACTATTATTCTACAATGTGGAAAATATAAAAAAATATAAAGAAAAACCCTTGAATGAGTAGGTGTTCTAAAACTTTTGACCGGTAGTGTATGTAGATGTCTTTGTTAGAAAGAATACTATTTAGTGATGCTGAATGTTAAAAATGGCTCAATTTACCACACTCCCATAGGCTATGCATTGGTCAAAGCAAATGGTCACATTCTAAAGCCAATGCTCTTGTGGTCCTCTGTAGCTCAGTTGAGAGGCTAGAGCATGGCGCTTGTAATGCCAGGTAGTGTGTTTGATTCCCACATTTGGACAAAAGTGTCTACTAAAGGGCATATATTATTGTAGTTATCAGAGTTACAAAATTGGAAATTGCATACTTTGATTCACACATCCTATTGGAACTCCAATGTTTTAGCATAGCCTCTGCCTGATTATGTTTTTTGGGAAGGGCGAAGGCTGAAAATCATGTTTTTGTGGAAGAAAATCAGTGTGCATGAATCCAGGCACTGTTGAGGAAAAAAAGAATCCCCTTCTAAACTGAAATTATCTGTGGTTGAGGCAGCTAATTGAACCAACTAAAATGGAGTAACGTTTTCACATTCACCAACATGGTAGACGTGCAAACCCATTTTCTCCAATCACATGGCAGGATTCTCCTCGGGGAGCAGATCCGGTGGCGTTTCCTGTGTTTGTAAACTCAAAGAAATTGGAACTCGGGCGACGAACCACGACAGACGAGGAAAATTTAAGGTAAATAACAGCGTTTGAATATCACCAATGTTTTGATGTGTTGTATGTTTAGTCGTGTATCAGACGATATTTTCGAAATTCTGCCTCCGTCTCTAAGCAAAAAATAAGTGACACGACTTGTGTTAGCGTAGACAACAGGGGAGGGGGAGAACGGTAGCTAACTACAGGACGCATCAACCATCAGGTATTTATCGCTAAGTCTTGCTGCAACTGCTGTCTTGTTCCTCGTTGGATTGCAATCCTCGAACTGTTGTTTTATCTAACTAGCTGTATTTATCCGGATCTAATCACATCGAAATTGCCTAGCGATATCATATTTCGATTTGTAGATGGATGGCAACTGAAGTTTGTACAATTTGATGTGCGTGGAGGCCACGTTAGCGTCGTTGTTACGTTAGCCCGAAACAGCTAGCTCGTATTCGCTCGATGTTTTGTTTCCGTGAGTTATGAGGAAATACTTTCAATTTTTGGGTTAGTCATTTAAATATAACTTCAAGTACTATTTCTACCGTGGCAGTTAACTAGCAAACGTAAATGTTGTTCACACTACTTGATGGTCAATAACCTTGCCACGCTAACGTTACCTAGCTAGCTGCTGCCAGGGAAAATAGCTAGTTAACTTTACTATTTGTAATCAGCTGCTAGTGTATCAAAAGGTTGCTGGTGCAGTAGGTCCGGTGTGGTTCAGTTGGTAGAGCATCTGCGAAATGACAAATATATATGTAGTGTTAGCAATGGTTGATACAAGAGAGTTTGAGGTTTTCCTTGGATCATTAGCTTGCCGGCTATGTGGGTGCCATTGGTTTCATTTTTGTAAAATGTTTTTCAGTTATGTGCCTATGGGGTCGTTCCATATGATTAAAATCACTTTCTGACTGCACCCCTTTTGATTTGATCAAAACCTTCCATGCATATTTGCCCATGGTAGAAGTGGTCAGAAAGTGACTTATTGTACCTGAATGACAAAACATTCAGGAGATTTGAGGTGCTTAAATGTCCAATGCAGGCGTTTTTGTCTCAATATAACATATTTTTTGGGTAAAGATTAAGTACTTTACTGTGATTGTCTTCAATTAAAATGGTCAAAAAGAAAAATAGCTTCTTAGCAAAGAGCAATTTCTAAAGCAATAATTTTGCTAAGGCTGTCTGAGTGGGGAGGGGAAAATGAAAACGAGCTGTTATTGGCAGAGAGGGTTGGAACTCTTTCACCAGGCATGCCAAAACTCCATCCCACCGAAATTTCAGGCAGACTTTTTAAACAGCTCTTGCACTAAAGGGGCATTATTATCATGTTCACAGTATTATTCCAACCTCAGTGTGGAAATATGTAGACTGGTTGGCTGACAACATCACGACAATGATGTGCACACTTCGATGTGGCCAGTGTGTTATGATTCTAAATGGTCAGATAGCTAGCAACAATGACAAGAAGCTGCCTTGTGGGGAATCGTATGTGGCTCGTTTCAGCTCATTGTATATTTAAGCAATAAGGCCTGAGGGGGTGTGGTATATGACCAATATACCACGGCTAAGGGTTGTTCTTATGCACTAAGCAACGCTATTTATAAACTGGGTGGTTCGAGCCCTGAATGCTGATTGGCTGACAGCCGTGGTATATCATACCGTATACAACAGGTATGACAAAATATATTTTAAATATATAATTACATCGGTAACCAGTTTATAATAAGAATAAGCCACCTCGTGGTTTGTGGTATATGGCCAATATACCACGGCTAAGGGCTGTATCCAGGCACTCTACGTTGCGTGCATAAGAACAGCCCTTAGCCGTGGTATATAAACGCAACATGCAACAATTTCAAAGATTTTACATCAGAATGTTGACTTGAGTGGGAATATCCATTGTTATAAATTAAACTGTATCTTTCATAGGAAACCTATTGAAATTATTTAAATGTCAATGGTGCATCAGCTAAATTTCAGGGGTCTGAAGGGATAGGTCCAGTCTAGGAATTAATTTCTATGTTTGAAATGACACCCACCCTGTATTCAAGAGTATGCTGTCTCAACCGATGACAGGCACAACACAAACACTTTAGATAGGGTCTAAGCTACAACATTTGTGAAAATGAGAAATGTAATAAAGCTTAAATTATAGACATTTTGTTTCTTCAAGAAATCAAAGAATAGTTTGACAACCCTGTTTGTAAGCTTTCAAATTATATAAAACTCAACTGTTTATCGTTTTCCGTGATGAAGACATGGACGTCCCATGGTAGGATAGGGTATGCAAAATAGGTCGACTTTGAGCACCTCTATCTCCTCAATGTTTTGGCATTCAGGTCCAAAAAGTCACTTTCTGACAACTATTTCCACCATGGGTAAACATGTATGAAAGGTTTCGCCCAAATCAAAAGGGGTGCAGTCAGAAAGTGATTAAAATCATATGGAGCAACCCTATTCTCAAACCTGTTTGCTTGCTAACTTGCAGTATCAGCCCTTTCTTTGTCCCAAATTCATGGTATATTGTGGTCACCCCTTTCAACAGCTAGCTAACATTAGCAATGTTAATGTACACAATTGGTATTGGAATTGGGTACCTGAATTGCTTGACCATCCCATTATGGGTATTAGCTAGCTAGATGTGTTGTGTTGGTGTGACACTTGAGCGTCTCTTTCAAAATCTTAATTCATAGCCAAGTGACCAAATGGGTATCCTATGAAGCAGTTTTGAGGAGTTAGCGAGGTAACTTTGGTAAACTCTTGAGTTAAACTCGGGATAACCGGTCATATGAAAGTGGCTCACCTTTTAGTCAGGTACATTTCTATGGCAACGAATCCTTCAGAACTAACCTGCTCCGGGCAGGCTAACTCACTGCTAACTCCACTTACTGAAGTGACTGAGCCACGAGTTGAGTACCATGAAATCAGATTCCCTCCCTCTTGCAAATATTGTCATCACCCCCTTCATTTGAGGAAGACAACTGATTTGAAATATTTTATTAACCAAATGTTTGTGTACATTTTTTTTTAGTAATGTTAATCACATGATCACAGAATCACAGAATGCATTTTAAACTTCACGCACAGTAACTGTTTTGTATGACTATTATTTTGTCGATAGGAGTGGGAAGAAAGGGGGCTTGTGGTTGTGCATTGATAAGCACACAAGTCGGCATTTAACGATAAGTAAAAAAAATAAGACAGCACTTCTAAAAGCCTATTTCACGCCATAGCCTGCTGAATTTGCAAGGTAACTTTTCATTTTGATTTCGGCACAAATTAAATTGTGGCACTGACTCGCCCATGGATTGATGTTTCAGCGTTGTCTCAATTAAGAGTTTGGGGTTCGACAAGCCAAGTGCGACATGCACGCGCAGTTACAAGCCTGCTACAGTTAGCGGTAGGCGGACAAGTGATATCCACCGTCGTAATACGGATGAAGTATGAGATGGAATGTGATGCTAACTGAAGCTGGTTAGCTTTAGAAAACCCTGAGTAGATCTAGCTTTATTTGTAGGATACCCCTTTGGTGAAAAAGGCAAACAAGGAGTTAACCAAAGGACCTTCTACAGTTATTATGGTGATGTTTATTTTTGAGTAATTGGGTTTTGTGTGATTTGGAGTAGTTACAATTTGATTAACTGGTTTTAGCGCAAAAAAATAATTTCAGTATTATTGAATGTGTTTTCATGTTTTGTCCACATCGTCCTCTTCCTCAGTTTTAGTGCTAGATGAGTGAGGTGGGTGTGGCCTCCCGTCAGACTGACCATCCTGATTGACGGATTCCTGGATGACCTTGTCCCCGCCCCTGTCCCCGCCCTCACATATACCGTTCCCACTGCAATGTCACACCTGCCCAGCAGCTCAGTCCGCGACCATATGAAATGGGTTTGTTTTCCAAAAAAATATATAATGATAAAATGGCTACAAACAACATGCCTACAATTAGGCTACATTATCTTTTGTCACTCAGGATGTTGTCGTCATCAAATGTTATTTAAAAAAATATTTGACATCTGTTTTATCATTGGGCTTCATACCGTTTCTGGTGTAACTAACTCGGCCTCTGGCAGTCTTGAGTTTTTGTTTTCTCCTTTGTTTAGCTCCTCTCTACACCCATACTGGTTCTATTTATACAGTGAGCTCCAAAAGTATTGGAACCGTGTTGTTTTGGCTCTGTACTCCAACACTTGGGATTTTAAAGGATACATTGACTGAGGTTAAAGTGCAGACTGTCAGCTTTAATCTAAGGGTATTTTTTGTACGTAGTCCCCCATTTTAGGGGACCAAAAGTATTGGGACAAATTCACTTATGTGTATTGAAGTAGTCAAAAGATTAGTATTTGGTCCCATATTCCTAGCACTCAATGATTACATCAAGCTTGTGACTCTATAAACTTTTTGGATGCATTTGCTGTTTGTTTTGTTTGTGTTTCAGATTATTTTGTTCCCAATAGAAATTAATGATAATAATGTATTGTCATTTGAGTCACTTTTATTATAAATAAGAATATAATGTTTCTAAATACTTCTATATTAATGTGGATGCTACCATGATAACGGATTGACCTCAATGAATCGTGAATAATGATGAGTGAAAGTTAGACGCACAAATATCATTCCCCCACCAAAAATGAAAACCTCTGATATTGTTTTAATGGTGAGAGGTTAGCATGTCTTGGGGGTATGATATTTGTGCGTTTAACTTTGGGACCAAATACAAAACTTTTGCCTACGTTATACACAAGTGAATTTGTCCCAATACTTATGGTCCCCTAAAATGGGGGGGGGGGCGACTAGGTACAAAAAGTGCTGTAATTTCTAAACGGTTCACCCTATATAGAAGAAAATGCCCTCAAAATACAGCTGACAGTCTGCACTTTAACCTCAGTCATTGTATAAGTTCAAATCCAAAGTGTTGGAGGGCTGAGCCAAAACAACAAATGAGCTCACTGTATATTTTCTAAATGTCTGATAGTGGATTTCCCTGACTCAGGCTCGGTTCTGTTCCCAGGCAGGGTTGCTTGGCTGTGAGGCTGTTCTCTCCAGTATGGCCCTGATGCAGGCCAGCTCCATGGCCGGTCCGCCCAAGAAGATGATGGCGCCACTCGGCCATGGACCACCGCCCCAGAGGGATGGCCCAGACCGCGGTCCTCAGAGCCACATGATCCTGCCATCTGGAATGAGCTGTCCACCCCTGGTTAGGAGGCGCCGGGGCAATGCAGAGGGGGAGGAGGGGTTTATTATTGTCACCTGCTGAAAGAACAACAAATGAGAAATTGACATATTTCGCATTGGATAGGTCTCAGCAGTAACTTGCATTTGTTATGTAGGTCAAGCACTTGCCTATTGTGGGCTGCTAATATAACTAAATTATAGTCTTCAGTAATGATTTAAAGAGGCTGCCAGATATGTACATCATTTGAGAAGTAGGCATGAAGGGAGGTTACCTTCTGTATTACTGTCTTTTGCCAAGGTTATTTTTATTTTTACTGTTTATTATTAGTTTTCCCAGCATAATCCTCCTGTAGCTCAGTTGGTAGAGCATGGCGCTTGCAACGCCAGGGTTGTGGGTTCGATTCCCACGGGGGGCCAGTATGAAAAATTTATGCACTCACTAACTGTATGTCGCTCTGGATAAGAGCGTCTGCTAAATGACTGAATTGTAAAACATTTAAATGTAATAATCCTGTAAAGGATTAGAAAATATCCTGTGCTTCACATTTTAATTTTTTCATATATTTAGAAAACCTTATCAAGGAAATCAAGGAATATTTTCTTTCTCGTTTTGTTTCTGTTTTGAAATGTGGGGCTATCTGTACGGTAATTCCTATTTGTAAATTTCAGGCTATCAGGAGAAAAAAAAAGTATGTTTTCTCCACCAGGCAGGCTTACGCAAAGCCCTCTCTCCCTCTTCTCTGTGCTCCTCAGCTTATCCGGAAGGAGGGCGACTTCCACACCCCCCGCCTGCTGGACGAGAAGGAGATGAGGGCCAACGAGGACATGCAGCTGAAAAAGAAGAACAGGAAGTCAGGAACGCCCTGTAAAGTGAGAGAGCAAGACGGGAGGGGAGGGAAGGTCAGTGCCTCTGAATTTTAAACTCTTTCTGTGGACTCTTTCTGTGTTTCGGAGAGATTGTGTTATAAAAACAGACTGAAAGTGTGTTTGTGTGCACGTCTGTGGGCGTTTGGCTCTCTGTGTGCTTTTATGTGTGTAAGACGTACTTTTTTGTCTCTAGCTGAGTTGGTGCCTTTGAGTGCACATATTTTGTTTGTGTGGGGGGAGGAGTGCATAGGAGATGTAGAGGGGGTGGGGTTCTCTGGAGAGGAAAGAGGGGGAAGGGGAACACTAACTGTTATTGTGTGGGAAAGGGGGAGCAGTAACATATGGGGGGTGGGAGGGATTAACCCTTCTCTAGGTTTTGGGTACTAAGTCATTTAAATGGCCAAAATGGTCCAATTTTTTACATTTTTACAAGGAGCTAGAAATAATATATTACCCTTTTAACCAGGACTATTTGGCTGGAGTTTTTTTTACTAGCATTTTGGTCAGCACTAGCGTTTCTCATACTGAATAAAACCAATGTATCATATGTTTCCTTCTATACAAAAGTGAGGGCATACTTGTAGTGATGATTTAGTAGATGTATATCTTTGAGTTTTGTCTGTGGTGTATTTAGGCCTACAATTTTTTGATGAGCCTCTATTCTATCCTGCATAGGTGGTTGTTGTGGATGAGAATGGTAACTGTCCAATATCTAAAGTGCAGAAAAACTTCATCTGCAATCACTGTTATGGCGCATTTAGGAGTGGATATCACCTGAAGAGACACATCCTCATTCATACAGGTATGTGTCAAGACCACAATGGCCAGCTAACTTCTGGAGGTGCTCCATTACCAGTTAGGGAGATGTTTAAAATGCCTAGCTAATACAGTAAGACAATACATAAGGCCAACAGAAACACCAGTTTGGATTAAGTGACTGGTGATTTTAAGTTTATGAGATGGCCTCCTAAAACAGCCTGTCTAGTGTCAGATTTTGATTCACAGTTTTTGGTGTTGTCTGTGGGGACCTTTCACTAAAACTGGTACTCTTCGGTTTAGGGGAGAAGCCGTATGCTTGTGGCATATGTGGCATGAGGTTTATTCAGCGTTACCACCTGGAGAGACACAGCCTGATTCACACGGGTATGCGTCCTCTTACCATACCCATCTCTATCTAAACAGGCTACATCTGTAGTGCTGCACCGGAACCCCAGTATACAGGGCTTTCAGTGTTTAAAAAAAGTCATTTGGACAGTAATTTCCAGCAAAGCTCACAATTCCTTTCACCTCAACTATATGAAGGAGAGGGGTTATCATCACAAATGTTCAAATTGGTCCCCCAACACCAGTAAGCTTACAAATGAAAGGTCTACTTGGTACAAATGTTTATAGATTGACCACAGGAGGTTACACAAAGGTCCCAGTTTTAGGACAATGTTGCTTTAGCTAGGTGAAGGTGTTGCAAGTTACCAGTAGCTTTTTGTTTGCAGTATGAGATTTTGAATATAATTTAATGCATGGACATCAAGAAACTATGATTTTCTGAGATATTAAGTAATATTGGTAAGTAAACCATTTTAAAGAGTGGCCTGTAGCCTCTCCTAAATTGGAAAAGAAAACAATGCTTTCCAAGTTTGCATTTTTATTTTGAAATAAACTATTTGCTTTAGATTCTAGTCATCTTGTTTGTCTTTTGTGGTACTTTCAAAAATCGGATCATAAGCTAGGTTTTCATCCAACTAGCGACAGATTTTCATTAGACTATTCTAAAATCTGCATAAAAAGAATATGCACATTTTCCCACCAGAGATGTTTCCGTGTACCCAATTTTTTTTTTTAAAGTTAAGTGTTTCGATCGCATTTTCAACTCTACTGATGGTTTTCTCACAAAAAAAAGCAGTTATATAGCGAGTGTGCCCACTCTGGTATTGGTACGTAGCAATGTATAGCCTACATGATGATTATGGAAAAAAGAGCAAGATAATTTGTATTTGTCAAACGGCAGCTAAGAATCGATGATCATGTCACCAGAATAAAACCCTCTATTGGAAAGGAGCATCAAGCTCATCACCTTGCATTTTCACCACCCTGTGAAGTTCATCATAACTTATTTCATCTTCAAGTTTTAATGTCACATGCACAAGTACAGTGAAATGCCTATCAATATGATGGTTATTATATCAATGTTTGCACATAAAAGCGTGTCCACTTACATTTCTCGCATAATTCATTTTACAGACACAAAAATATTTACGGAAACATTTTCCATCAGGCCTGTCATGACATTTATGACTATGTCCTTTACTTGCATAAAAAGGTTGGATGGAAACCTGGTTAGTGTCCAGTATTGTGTGTGTTCTTCATTTGGCCATATGTTTATCCTTGTAAATCTAACAAATCTTACTCTAATTTGAATTGACAGTTAGAAATTTGCAATTGGTATAAAATATTTGTTCATTCTGTGCAGATTGAATAGCTAATATTTGTATGCTCTGTGTGTGTATAGGGGTGAAGCCGTACGCTTGTTCCATGTGTGACATGAGGTTTTTCCAGCGTTACCACCTGGAGAGACACAGCCTCACTCATACGGGTATGAGTCCTCTTTCCGTACCCATCTCACATAAAACAAGCGACCCATTTTACTCCTGTTTGTCATAGAGCAGCCTCTCAGTAGAAATGTATTGAGTGTAAAATGATAGATGTCTTACCATGACAGTCTGCCAGCCTCAGGAGCTCAGGACGAGACAAATATCTTTATGCTAGGACAAAAACTGTGGCATTCATATACACTACATGGCCAAAAGTATGTGGACACCCCTTCAAATTAGAGGATTCTGCTATTTCAGACGCACACATTGCTGACAGGTGTATAAAATCGAGCACACAGCCATGCAATCTCCATAAACAAACATTGGCAGTAGAATGGTCCGTACTGGAGAGCTCAGTGACTTTCAATGTGGCACCGTCATAGGATGCCACCTTTCCAACAAGTACGTTTGTCAAATTTCTGCCCTACAAGAGCTGCCCTGGTCAACTGTAAGTGCTGTTATTGTAAAGTGAAAACGTCTAGGTGGCTCAGCCGCAAAGTGGTAGGCAATACAAGCTCACAGAACAAGACTGCGTAGTGCAAAAATCGTCTGTCCTCGGTTGCAACACTCACTACCAAGTTCCAAACTGCCTCTGGAAGCAACGTCAGCACAATAACTGTTCGTCGGAAGCTTCATGAAATGGGTTTCCATGGCCGAGCAGCTGCACACAAGCCTAAGATCACCATGTGCAATGCCAAGTGAATCGCGCTTCACCATCTGGCAGTCCAACAGACAAATCTGAGTTTGGCGGATGCCAGGAGAATGCTACCTGCCCGACTGCATAGTGCCAACTGTAAAGTTTCAAGGATGAGGATTAATGGTCTGGGGCTGTTTTTCATGGTTCGGGCTAGGCCCCTTAGTTCCAGTGAAGGGAAATGTTAACGCTACAGCATACAATGACATTCTAGACGATTCTGTGCTTCCAACTTTGTGGCAACAGTATGGGGGAAGGCCCTTTCCTGTTTCAGCATGACAATGCCCCCGTGCACAAAGTGAGGTCCATACAGAGATGGTTTGTCGAGATCGGTGTGGAAGAACTTGACTGGCCTGCACAGAGCCCTGACCTTAACCCCTTCGAACACCTTTGGGATTAATTGGAACGCCGGCTGCGAGCCAGGCCTAATCGCCCAACATCAGTGCCCGATCTCACTAATGCTCTTGGGGTTGAATGGAAGCAAGTCCCTGCACCAACATCTAGTGGAAAGCCTTCACAGAAGGGTGGAGGCTGTTATAGCAGCAAAGGGGGACCAACTCCATATTAATACCCATGATTTTGGAATTAGATGTTCGAGTAGGTGTCCACATGCTTTTGGTCATGTAGTGTAGGTAGAAATGCAGACATACTATATAGTTATATGTATTTGGCCATTCTGACACTTAAAATGTTTGAAACTATTAGACTTACAGTGGGGAAAAAAAGTATTTAGTCAACCACCAATTGTGCAAGTTCTCCCACTTAAAAAGATGAGGCCTGTAATTTTCATCATAGGTACACGTCAACTATGACAGACAAATTGAGGGAAAAAAATCCAGAAAATCACATTGTAGGATTTTGTTATGAATTTATTTGCAAATTATGTTGGAAAATAAGTATTTGGTCACCTACAAACAAGCAAGATTTCTGGCTCTCACAGACCTGTAACTTATTCTTTAAGAGGCTCCTCTGTCCTCCACTCGTTACCTGTATTAATGGCACCTGTTTGAACTTGTTATCAGTATAAAAGACACCTGTCCACAACCTCAAACAGTCACACTCCAAACTCCACTATGGCCAAGACCAAAGAGCTGTCAAAGGACACCAGAAACAAAATTGTAGACCTGCACCAGGCTGGGAAGACTGAATATGCAATAGGTAAGCAGCTTGGTTTGAAGAAATCAACTGTGGGAGCAATTATTAGGAAATGGAAGACATACAAGACCACTGATAATCTCCCTCGATCTGGGGCTCCTCGCAAGATCTCACCCCGTGGGGTCATAATGATCACAAGAACGGTGAGCAAAATCCCAGAACCACACGGGGGGACCTAGTGAATGACCTGCAGAGAGCTGGGACCAAAGTAACAAAGCCTACCATCAGTAACACACTACGCTGCCAGGGACTCAAATCCTGCAGTGCCAGACGTGTCCCCCTGCTTAAGCCAGTACATGTCCAGGCCCGTCTGAAGTTTGCTAGAGTGCATTTGGATGATCCAGAAGAGGATTGGGAGAATGTCATATGGTCAGATGAAACCAAAATATAACTTTTTGGTAAAAACTCAACTCGTCGTGTTTGGAGGACAAAGAATGCTGAGTTGCATCCAAAGAACACCATACCTACTGTGAAGCATGGGGGTGGAAACATCATGCTTTGGGGCTGTTTTTCTGCAAATGGACCAGGACGACTGATCCGTGTAAAGGAAAGAATGAATGGGGCCATGTATCGTGAGATTTTGAGTGAAAACCTCCTTCCATCAGCAAGGGCATTGAAGATGAAACGTGGCTGGGTCTTTCAGCATGACAATGATCCCAAACACACCACCCGGGCAACGAAGGAGTGGCTTCGTAAGAAGCAGTTCAGGGTCCTGGAGTGGCCTAGCCAGTCTCCAGATCTCAACCCCATAGAAAATCTTTGGAGGGAGTTGAAAGTCCTTGTTGCCCAGCGACAGCCCCAAAACATCACTGCTCTAGAGGAGATCTGCATGGAGGAATCGGCCAAAATACCAGCAACAGTGTGTGAAAACCTTTTGAAGACTTACAGAAAATGTTTGACCTGTGTCATTGCCAACAAAGGGTATATAACAAAGTATTGAGAAACTTTTGTTATTGACCAAATACTTATTTTCCACCATAATTTGCAAATAAATTCATAAAAATCCTACAATGTGATTTTCTGGATTTTATTTTCTCATTTTGTCTGTCATAATTGACGTGCACCTATGATGAAAATTACAGGCCTCTCTCATCTTTTTAAGTGGGAGAACTTGCACAATTGGTGGCTGACTAAATACTTTTTTCCCCCACTGTATGTGGCAAAAGTCTGGTCTCACTCTCTCGATGTCCAAGCCTTGCACATGATTTACTGGTAGTTGTTCATGGCTAGGTAGCTCAAATGTAATTGATAATGGCTTGAAGTTGGTACAGATTGTTACTGATGATTATTTTCTGAGTTTTGTAGATAAAAACAAGTTCCTAGCCAAATAACTTATTTTGTGAGTTAACTTCCTCTTTTTTTTTTTATAGCTAACGTTTCTGTGGTAGAATCTTGACGTTTGTTGCTATTGAGCTTTTGCTTGTGTTAATTGAACTTGATTGGGCATTAAACATTTAGTTTTAACCTTAAATGCATGTTGGAGTGTTTGTCTCCAAAGGTTAAGACATAATCGGGAAGTAATTGCTCACTATTGCAACAAACATTACACCTCTAGTAGTAGAACTAATCAGTCCTTACGTTTTAGTGAAATGTATTGATGTAGTTTGGGACTTGGGAATTGGTGTGTGTGTTCTACTTTATATAATAGGATCACTAGCTAATATATTGATACTCTGTGTGTGTATAGGGGTGAAGCCGTACGCATGCAACATGTGTGACATGAGATTCTTCCAGCGTTACCACCTGGCGAGACACAGCCTCACTCATACGGGTAGGCCCCCCCTCACCATAGCCCTCATATAGAATAGCATTGTAGTGGTAACCAGGTTTCCCCAATGAAGTGAATTAACATACAGTGGGGAGAACAAGTATTTGATACACTGCTGATTTTGCAGGTTTTCCTACTTACAAAGCATGTAGAGGTCTGTCATTTTTATCATATGTACACTTCAACTGTGAGAGACGGAATCTAAAACAAAAATCCAGAAAATCACATTGTATGATTTTTAAGTAATTAATTTGCATTTTATTGCATGACAAAAGTATTTGATCACCTACCAACCACTAAGAAGTCCGGCTCTCACAGACCTGTTAGTTTTTCTTTAAGAAGCCCTCCTGTTCTCCACTCATTACCTGTATTAACTGCACCTGTTTGAACTCGTTACCTGTATAAAAGACACCTGTCCACACACAAACAGACTCCAACCTCTCCACAATGGCCAAGACCAGAGAGCTGTGTAATGACATCAGGGATACAATTGTAGACCTGCACAAGGCTGGGATTGGCTACAGGACAATAGGCAAGCAGCTTGGTGAGAAGGCAACAACTGTTGGCGCAATTATTAGAAAATGGAAGAAGTTCAAGATGACGGTCAATCACCCTCGGTCTGGGGCTCCATGCAAGATCTCACCTCGTGGGGCATCAATGATCATGAGGAAGGTGAGGGATCAGCCCAGAACTACACGGCAGGACCTGGTCAATGACCTGAAGAGAGCTGGGACCACAGTTTCAAAGAAAACCATTAGTAACACACTACGCTGTCATGGATTAAAATCCTGCAGCGCACGCAAGGTCCCCCTGCTCAAGCCAGCGCATGTCCAGGCCCGTCTGAAGTTTGCCAATGACCATCTGGATGATCCAGAGGAGGAATAGGAGAAGGTCATGTGGTCTGATGAGACAAAAATAGAGCTTTTTGGTCTAAACTCCACTCGCCGTGTTTGGAGGAAGAAGAAGGATGAGTACAACCCCAAGAACACCATCCCAACCGTGAAGCATGGAGGTGGAATCATCATTCTTTAGGGATGCTTTTCTGCAAAGGGGACAGGACGACTGCACCGTATTGAGGGGAGGATGGATGTGGCCATGTATCGCGAGATCTTGGCCAACAACCTCCTTCCCTCATTAAGAGCATTGAAGATGGGTTGTGGCTGGGTCTTCCAGCATGACAACGACCTGAAACACACAGCCAGGGCAACTAAGGAGTGGCTCCGTAAGAAGCATCTTAAGGTCCTGGAGTGACCTAGCCAGTCTCCAGGCCTGACCCAAATAGAAAATCTTTGGAGGGAGCTGAAGGTCCGTATTGCCCAGCGACAGCCCCGAAACCTGAAGGATCTGGAGAAGGTCTGTTTGGAGGAGTGGGCCAAAATCCCTGCTGCAGTGTGTGCAAACCTGGTCAAGACCTACAGGAAACATATGATCTCTGTAATTGCAAACAAAGGTTTCTGTACCAAATAATAAGTTCTGCTTTTCTGATGTATCAAATACTTATGTCATGCAATAAAATGCAAATTAATTACTTAAAAATCATACAATGTGATTTTCTGGATTTTTGTTTTAGATTCCGCCTCTCACAGTTGAAGTGTACCTATGATAAAAATTACAGACCTCTACATGCTTTGTAAGTAGGAAAACCTGCAAAATCGGCAGTGTATCAAATACTTGTTCTCCCCACTGTACATGACCAACTCGAGTTTGGGTATAATTTTTTTATCTTGGTAATCTCAGGCGCTTTGTACAATGCTTCACAATTTTAAATCAATCTGCATGTATTTTCCTAATTTTATCATTAAGTATCTTCAGATAGAGTTCTGTAGCTGAAGGCCATTATCATACTAGAAAAGTATATTAGCCTACAAGGCTTGACATCATAGTGACAACTTGGTGGATATTTTAAAACCAAGACATTGGTGGCTAGCTACAATATTTATGTTCTGTGTGTGTATAGGGGTGAAGCCATACGCTTGCAACATGTGTGACATGAGATTCTTCCAGCGTTACCACCTGGCAAGACACAGCCTCACTCATACGGGTATGGGTCTGCACACCGTACCCTTTTTTACAATGGCCTATAAACACTGATGCTGCACTTAAGCACCAATACACAGGTTCCTTAAGTTCTTGTGTAGACTGGCGTGTGGTGAGAGTGTATTAATTAGCTATATTTCTATACTCAAACGACTGAGGTATGCTGGTGATTTTGTTTTGAATGTATATCAACTGTGTTGAATAATGTTATGTCTCAGTGCAAGTTTGCATGGCTATTGTGACGTTTAATTTCCGCCATTGTTCTGGCATGTCTGCCTTTATTCGATGAGTGTGTAAAGGACTCTAGTTTATCAAAGGGCAAGATGCAGGCTTTTCTGAAGTTGGTGCTCTGTGTGTATAGGTGTGAAGCCATACGCTTGCTCCATGTGTGATCAGAGATTCTTCCAGCGTTACCACCTGGCGAGACACAGCCTCAAACATACGGGTATGGGTCCGCTCACCATACCCATCTCACATATGTTGGCTACACCAGGTACACAGAGAGGGTATTTAAGTCCCACCAGTGAAATAATAATCTTAACTAAGAACATGCATGATCATGATTCTTGAGTTTGGATTGTTGAACATTTGCAAATAATTAAATATTGCAGATAGAGACCAATAAGTTATTTTTATAGGAACAGCTTGTTCTTTTGCAACATTTAGGGCAGGTTGCACCGCTGCCACTTTAAAACCTCAATTATCTTTACTAGGCCACTGAGTTCCAACATAAAAAAAAATCCATATTTTGGTGTCTGGCACAGTACAAACCCAGTTAATACATGCATGATGTTCTTAAAACAAGCCTTTATATATTCACATGACTGGTGCAGGTGCTCTCTTGGTGTAGATTTATTCTAAAGTTTGGCGCTTTGTGTGTGTAGGAGTGAAGCCGTACGCTTGCTCCATGTGTGACATGAGGTTCTTCCAGCGTTACCACCTGGCGAGACACGGCCTCACTCATACGGGTATGGGTCCGCTCACTTACCATCTTACTCTCAGTACATTTTTACTAGAGCTGCTTACGCAAAATTATTCAGATGAATATAAATGTTAAGCCCCCAATGGCCCCATGCATTGTCAAATGTTCAGACATCTTGTTTGTATGGTTAGGCTACTTTTTAGTACAGTTAGACAGACAATTCATTGTTGGATGTCCTTGTTGGTAATCCCATCCCCTTCTCAATCTCAGTGATTTGGAATTAAGAGGCTTTGTTGGAAACTACTGTCCACTAAAAAGAAAAATCCCCATGTTATCAAATATTACAGAATGATGTGATTATGTATTAAGAATGTATTGTTTCATAAAATAAAAAATATTTATTTATTTTTGGTCAGTGATCTCTAACCAAGTTCCTGATATAATTGACTATTTGTAACAAGGGGAGAGATTATCACCAGATGACATCATCAGTTATGTTTTGTAACTTTAGAGACAATCATTGCATGATATGGAGAAATGTATTCGCAAGTACTTAAGGTTATGGACACTCTTTATCAACGTATGGTTTTTCATTGTAAGTGATTGTTTATACTATTGTTTAAATTGTAAAGCAGGAAATCGACCATGTAATTGTATAGAATAAAGAATCAGGGAATGCATTTAAAAAAAAACTGCAACAGAAAGATGGCTAATATTTGTATGTTCTGTGTGTTTAGGAGTGAAGCCGTATGCTTGTTCCATGTGTGACATGAGGTTTATTCAGCGTTATCAACTGGAGAGACACAGCCTCACTCATACGGGTATGTGTCCTCACTTTGAATCCCTCCCTCTTGCTTCAATCTGGCATCGGATGCCATGCGTGAGCCCCACTGCATTGTGGTTAAATTAGTCCCCCATGTCATGTTGGGGTATAATGGAATTAAATTGATCCATATGGCTGCATCAAACTCGAGTTTGTGTTAAAGGCATTTTATTTAGAAATTAGACTGCATTTATGCTTAGTCATGTTTCCTTTCAGAACAGGTTTTCTTAGAGAATGATGTTGAATATTGTTCTACGTAGGTAAAAGATTTCCAAGGTAACCAGTTTAGAGGACTATGATAGATTCTCATCCAACCCTCAAATCATTGCACAGCGTTAGTTAATCAGCATCATATCATGTTTAGAAATTAGGCTTGTTGGTGAAATGAACTTATTTTTAATTAAGCCCCAGGTCCGATTAAAATCTTTATACCCCCATGTTGGAATTGAGCTGGGGTCTGGCTAAGAGCCAAAACTTTAGGCTGGCTACATTGGTCTTTCCAAAAATGTCCTATGGAAGCCATCTTTGATGTAGGGCTGGGCAGTATACCGTATTTTACTATATACCGGTATTGATGAACGGACCGGTTTGGGTTTTTACTTTACCTAAAATAACGGTATTTCAAAGTTTGGTTTGTTAAATGTGATGCGCAACTCCCAGCGCGTTTACTCTGTTTGCTACTTGAGTCGTCTTTCTCCCTCTCCTCCTGCTGCATGCTGCTTTCCACACCAAGCCGTGCCCCCTGTCACTCGAGAGAACAGCTGCTCGACCACTGAGTCACAAGCACTTTCTTGCCATTCTCTGCACTACAGTCTGCATGGTCAAATAGATTAAACAAGATGTTGGTGACATGCTGCTTTCCACAAGTATACTGTAATTACACTTATTCTGTGTATCTTACTGTCTGCAAACTGTCTCCTAGTTTGTCTTTTTTTTAGCAAGTTGTGGCTAAAATAAATCTTGTTAGCCACTAATACTAATATAGCTAGTTAGCTGGCTAGCTAGCATGCTAAATGTACTAAGAGTCAGTGCAAATGTAGCAATCTAATACAGCCTGGTACCAGTGCTGGTACCAGGCTGTATTAGGAGGAAATAGGCGAAGCAAGAATATGTTGGCTAGCTACATGATTGAAGAAAACAACATGTAATATCTAATTAGGGTCACCTGGAAACACTGACTAGCACTTTGGTTCCTACCCTGTCAATAATTCCTCCCTTGTTTATTCATTCGTTTTCATTTCAAACAACAATGTATTCAAGGTGCTGCCAACTATATTCTAACTATAGAATTAGAACATGCATTCTATTTCCATGATTCCAACAGTTCACCAATTAACTAGGCCTGTTTTTTTTGCACATATCATGCAGCCCTGCGTGGCACAGTGTAGAAATTATAACAAAAGTGCAGAAATTTTTCTTTTTGTTGGATTGAAAAGTATAAAACTATCAGAATAGCGAAAGCCCCATTTGAAATCATGTATGTGTTTTCACCCTAGGGTCATGAACTATACTGAACAAAAATATAAACGCAACATACAACAATTTTACTGAGTTACAGTTCATATAAGGAAATCAGTAAATTGAAATAAATTCATTAGGCCTAATCTATGGATTTCACATTAAATACTATCCAGCTGTCCGGGTGGCTGGTCTTAGACGATCCCGCAGGTAAAGAAGCCAGATGTGGAGGTCCTGGGCTGGCGTGGTTACATGTGGTCTGCAGTTGTGAGGCCGTTGGACGTACTGCCAAATTCTGGTAGAGAAATTAACATTGAATTCTCTGGTGGACATTCCTGCAGTCAGCATGCCAATTGCACGCTCCCTCAAATCTTGAGACGTCTGTGTTGCGACAACTGCACATTTTAGAGTGGCCTTTTATTGTCCCCAGCACAAGGTGCCCCTGTGTGATTATGCTGTTTAATCAGCTTCTTGATATGCCACACCTGTCAGGTGGATTGATTATCTTGGCAAATGAGAAATACTCACTAACAGTGATGTAAACAAATTTGTGCATAACATTTGAGAGAAATAAGCTTTTTGTACATATGGAACATTTCTGGGATCTTTTATTTCAGCTCATGAAACATGGGACCAACACTTTACATGTTGTGTTTTCTATTTTTGTTCAGTGTAGGTACTCATAAAATATATTTTTAGAATTGTTACTATTCAAAACTTAAAATACCGGCATACCGTCAAATTTGAAAAATATCATATATTTTGGCCATACCTACTTTGATGGAGTTCAGGATTGTAGCAGGAGAATCAGACAGCTTCAGGAGTTTATGATGTCACAATAGCATGGCAAAAATCACATGGTTGTGTCAATGTATTTTATGTTTAAATATGTACCAACTGCCTAAAATTTTCACATCTAATGTTCATATGAACAGCATGACGTGAAGTCATGTGTCCACCAGCCTTTTCACCCAAAATTCTAACCTGACTCGGAAATTGCAATTGTTATTAGGTAAACCATTGGCAGCGCGAAGCCACGCTTAGGCTACAACAGTGGTTTTGCGGTGTATTATGGCAGTGTATTAAGGCACTACCTTTCTTAGCATTACCCTTTGAACATAGAAACGGCCCAATATGGCCTACTCATTGGGCGCTGAACTCGTGTCCCAATTGGATTAGTAGATTGCACTTTTTTGACCAACCACTGTAACAATATGTTCTGTCAAAGAAAATTGTCTGGTGAACAAGACCAAAACTTTGCTAAGCTTATTTAGCTAAAGTTAAGATCGATCATTTTTGGCAGTTGACCTTTCTTACACTAAAGTTCGTGCTCTTTGTGTATAGGGGTGAAGCCATTTGGTTGCACCATGTGTGACAAGAGGTTCTTCCAGCGCTACCACCTGGCAAGACACAGCCTCACTCATATGGGTATGCACCTGCTCACTGTATCCCTGTAATTCAACCATAGTTTACAGGGTTGGCAGGATATATGCACCAAAAAAGATATGCACACATTTTTTTGCAGGTTTGATATCCATAAAAGTCCATAATTTAATTTCCCTTAAGGATGAGAAGGGTTAGTTTTGCCACCAGGTGACATCATCAGCTCATGTGATGTGTTGTGGACAAAAGCTTTGAATAACACATCTAAAAATATCTCACTTCATTGGGGGAAACATTTTAAAGATGTTTGTTAATCCCCAGTACATAATGGCAAGTATAGTGGTTAACTACCAATGAATTTAACGTCCAAGTATATTCATACCTAAAATTCGAGGCACTGAAATGATGTATTGATGCTCTGTGGGTTTAGGTGTGAAACCTTACGCTTGCACCCTGTGTAACATGAGGTTTGTTCAGCGCTACCACCTGACAAGACACAGCCTCAAACATACGGGTACAGTCCGCTCACCGTACCCATCACACATATACAAGCTAGTAAAGGATGTTAGTAAAAATGTCACAGGCACACGTTCAGTATGTAAGACTTTGCAAAAATATTTGATTTGATCCGTTATTTATGATAAATTAGTACACTATTTAATTTTCTTGACACATTGCAGTAGTGATGACTAAAGACTGGCATTTCTATAAATAATGATTGTGATTTGCAGTCCTTTACAAGTTAACGCCTTTGATGAATTACAAACTGTAATATTGCATCATTGCTGTTGTACTTTCGAAGTTCCCAGTAGCACTAGGTCATAAACACCAACTAAAACCACTTTCTTTTCACAACTTTGTAAATTGAGCACTTTAAGAAAGCCTTGCACTACCACCAGATAATATAATCAGTTAATCTAATGTGTTGTATCATGAAGTGCAATTCATCCAATTGCAATTTCCTACATTCTGAAGTCTGTGGATGGACGCCTTGTAAATTGTGGTTCATCATAAACAAATTGTTTCATTGGCTAATCCTAAATTTGCACGCCATACCAACACCTTTTTTGATTAACCCCAAAAACCGCAAGCTATTGAGTTGGTAGTGTAATCAGATTCTTCAGGATGAATAGCAAGGAAGTCATCGCATGGATAGACATCAGGGTTTTATAAGCTATCAATTTATTATAAATGTGTATATACCTGAACTTAATATTGGAACACTTCAATTGATGGAGAGTGCGGCATAAAAATAATGATGTTCTATGTGTGTATAGGGGTGAAGCCGTACGCTTGCACCATGTGTGACAAGAGGTTTTTCCAGAGAGACCACCTGCGGAGACACAACGTCACTCATATGGGTATGGGTCCGTTCACCGTACCCATGTCATTATTCCACACCTGAACCCTAGTATACAGGTTTGGAAGGGTTTAGCCTATATGCTAGCTACTGCGCGAATCAAGGATGGCCAAGAAAATGTGTTTATGATGAAATACGATTTTAGATGGTTGGATAAATCATAGTTGTAGAGATGTTTTTAAGGGGTGCTACCATCTGAACTTCCAATCCTGCTGTTTTGAAGTGAGCATGTTGATAAGAATGTTGCGCTGTTGATAACAATTGTTGATGGTACTGAATGTGGTGTAGTTTATGGTATTAGATCATGAACTTCTCATCATCCAAGTGCAATTTCTTACATTCTCAGCTCTGTGGATGGACGCCTTGTAAAATTGTCTCATCCTAATCTAATTATGTTTTATTGGCCATCCTTAATTAGCGCACTTTACTAACACCTTTTTGATAGACCCCAACAACGCAAGCTATTGTGGTAGTGAAATTGGTTTCTTCAGGGTGAATACCCTGGAAGTTACGGTGTGTTCGAGTGCTGTTGGAAATCCAAAAATATGAGGTCCAGACTCTGAAATAACCACTTGAACGACCCTCCAAATTGTTACAAGAGTTGGGAAACTTGGGCCTGAAATGTTAGTTGCGACAGATCACTGACATTAAACTTTTAGACCAAAATATGGTAAAACAAAGCCGTTTACAATGTAGCTAGGTTGACCCATGCAGTGTGGTTTGACACATTGTCAATGTAAGCAAGCTAGCAACATTGGTTCTTCGCCATCAAGCTTAAATCTCATTGGTTGAAGAATTGTTGTGAGTGCCGACTTCAAAAGCACTTGAACGCACTCATGTCATAACGACGACTTCACCAACTGGGAAATACGAGATTCTGAGGACCATTCGAACACACCACCATCAGTGGTTTATCAAAATCAATTTAATATAAATGTATATGCCTAAACTTAATTTTGGAAGACCTCATTCGATGGAGAGTGAGACTTAAAAACGTTTGTATTTTCTGTGTGTACAGCGGTGAAGCCGTTCGCTTGCACCATGTGTGACAAGAGGTTTTTTCAGCGCCACCACCTGCGGAGACACAGCATCACTCATATGGGTATGGGTCCGCTCACCGTACCCATGTCTTTAAGATCAGGCTAAACCTGAACCCGAGTATACAGAGTTGGCAAGGTTTAAATGCTTTAACTCCAATAATATTGAGCAAGTGTTACCATAATTGGTGTTCTTGCATCTCAAAGAAACACCTTTAAAAACACTCAATCCTTTTCTTGAAATTAGCATGTTGATAACAATAACACAGCTAGGTACATATTGTTTATCGTACTGTATTTGGTATTAAGTTAATGGTAAATGATCACAAACTTGTCGTCATCCAAGTACAATTTCTTACATTCTACATTTTATTGGCCACCCTTAATTCGTGCATCTTGTCAACACCTTTTTTGATTAAAAAAACCCAAAACCGCATGCTATTGAGGTGGTGGAGTATTTAGATTCCGCAGGGTGAATACCCTGAAGGTTATTGACATCAGTGATTTTTATAAGAAATCAATGTAGTATAAATGTATATGCCTGAACTTAATATTGGAAGACTTCAATCGATACAGTGAGACAGAAAAATAATATGATGTTCTGTGTGTGTATAGGGGTGAAGCCGTATGCTTGCACCATGTGTGACAAGAGGTTTTTTGAGCGCCACCGCCTGCGGAGACACAGCATCACACATATGGGTATGGGTCCGTTCACCGTACCCACATCATTAAGATCAGGCTACACCTGTACCCTGGTATACATATTCTCAAAGCACCAGACCCCCCCCTCCCCCCAAAACTCAGAAATCTGGTATATACCTGAACTTAATATTGGAACACTTCAATCAATGGAGAGTGCGGCATTCAAATAATGATGTTCTGTGTGTATAGGGGTGAAGCCGTTCGCTTGCACCATGTGTGACAAGAGGTTTTTTCAGCGCCACCACCTGCGGAGACACAGCATCACTCATATGGGTATGGGTCCGTTCACCGTACCCATGTCATTTAAGATCAGGCTACACCTGAATCCTAGTATACTGGGTTGGCTGGATTTATATGCTAGTCGTACACAAAGAAATGTATAGATAAGATATATTGTTTGCGGATAGGTTGGATATGAAAACACCATTTCCCATAATTTTTTATAGACAGCAGTGACTTTTAAACAATTGAGTTAAACTGAATACACATAATATTTGAAGACTTCAGTGGATAAATTCTGAGAACCTTAGTAATGTATTGTTCTGTGTGTATAGGGGTGAAGCCGTTCGCTTGCACCATGTGTGACAAGAGGTTTTTTCAGCGCCACCACCTGGCGAGACACAGCGTCACTCACATGGGTATGTCATTAAGGCTATTGGTGAAATGTTTGCATGTTAGGTTTGATATCCAAAACGTCCATAATTCAATTTCCCCTAAGGACGAGAAGGGCTTGTATTACTACCAGATGATGTCATCAGCTCATGTGATGTGTTTTGTTATTTTGGGAAAAACAACTACACCGACTGTTCGATAACTCGCACCTCAATAGCATGCAGATTCGGATCTCTTCCAAATTGTCTTGTATTTTCAACCCGAGACTATTTAAATTGAGCAAGTGTTATCATAATTTTTTTCTTGCGACCTTCATAAACAATAGTTAGTAATTCTACCATCCGAAAACGGGTCCATTCTGCTGCGTGAAAGCAGCATGTTGATAACAAAAACAGCACTCTGTTCATTATTAGCTCTTGTATTCTGTGTAAAGTGGTGTTTTTAGGTATGAGAAAAATCGCACTTGATGACAAGTTCACTTTTACATTCTGAACCCAGTGGATGGAAAGTCCTATATTTTCGACCATTTAAAATTGGGTTCTGTACAGATAACGTTTTATTGCTCAGCCTCAATTCACACTTAAAAAATAAAAAATAAACGTGTGCTTTGTTCGACTCCAACGACCACTGCGAGTTATCGAAGTGGCGGTGTAATGACATTTCTTCAGTGTTAATCCTCTGTTATAATTGCATAGATTTACAACAGTGATTTAATAAACAATCAATGAAGTATAAACTCATACACATAATATTCAATCGATTCAAACGATGGAGTATGTGAAACAGAAAAATAATAAAACGTTCTTTGTGTATAGGAGTGAAGCCGTATGGTTGCACCATGTGTGACAAGAGGTTTTATCAGCGCCACCACCTGGCGAGACACAGCGTCACACACATGGGTATGGTTCTGCTCACCGTACTCCTGTCATTAAAGGGATAGTTCACCCAAATTACAAAATGTAATTGGTTTCCTTACCCTGTAAGCAGTCTATGGACAAGGTATGACAGCAGTACATGCTTTGGTTTAATTTCCCTGGCACTGTGTCCAAATGCTGAAGTTTTAGCATTTGTGGCACAAATCACATTCAAGTCATTGTACCGATATTAGCATTTTTCACGCATCATGTTCAAATCATCGAAGTGACTTTGACCTTCACAATACATTTTTCATACTTTTGGGTGATTTGGACATGATGCGCGAAAAATGCTAATATCAGGTACATGACTTGAATGGGATTTGTGCTATAAATGCTAAAACAGTAGCATTTGGAAACCGTGCCAGGGAAATAAAACCAAAGCATGGATTGCTGCTTTACCTTGTCCATCGACCGCTTACAGGGTACGGAAACCAATGTCATTTAGCAATTTGGGTGAACCATCCCTTAAAGATCAGGACACAGTATCAAAGTTGGCATCAGGACGCCAACCCTGGTATACAGGGTTGGCGGGATTTATAAGCTAGTCATGGCCAAAGAAATGTATAGGTGAAATATATTATTTTGTAATTTAGGTTTGATACCCCCAAAGTCTACAATGTAATTACCCTTGAGAATGAAGCTAATATTACCACCAGATGACATCAGCTCATGTGATGTGTGCAAAATTAATTGCCAAGAAATTGGCTAAATAACAACTACAGTGGGGAAAAAAAGTATTTAGTCAGCCACCAATTGTGCAAGTTCTCCCACTTAAAAAGATGAGAGAGGCCTGTAATTTTCATCATAGGTACACGTCAACTATGACAGACAAATTGAGATTTTTTTTCCCAGAAAATCACATTGTAGGATTTTTAATGAATTTATTTGTAAATTATGGTGGAAAATAAGTATTTGGTCACCTAGAAACAAGCAAGATTTCTGGCTCTCACAGACCTGTAACTTCTTCTTTAAGAGGCTCCTCTGTCCTCCACTCGTAACCTGTATTAATGGCACCTGTTTGAACTTGTTATCAGTATAAAAGACACCTGTCCACAACCTCAAACAGTCACACTCCAAACTCCACTATGGCCAAGACCAAAGAGCTGTCAAAGGACACCAGAAACAAAATTGTAGACCTGCACCAGGCTGGGAAGACTGAATCTGCAATAGGTAAGCAGCTTGGTTTGAAGAAATAAACTGTGGGAGCAATTATTAGGAAATGGAAGACATACAAGACCACTGATAATCTCCCTCGATCTGGGGCTCCACGCAAGATCTCACCCCGTGGGGTCAAAATGATCACAAGAACGGTGAGCAAAAATCCCAGAACCACACGGGGGGACCTAGTGAATGACCTGCAGAGAGCTGGGACCAAAGTAACAAAGCCTACCATCAGTAACACACTACGCCGCCAGGGACTCAAATCCTGCAGTGCAAGACGTGTCCCCCTGCTTAAGCCAGTACATGTCCAGGCCCGTCTGAAGTTTGCTAGAGTGCATTTGGATGATCCAGAAGAGGATTGGGAGAATGTCATATGGTCAGATGAAACCAAAATAGAACTTTTTGGTAAAAACTCAACTCGTCGTGTTTGGAGGACAAAGAATGCTGAGTTGCATCCAAAGAACACCATACCTACTGTGAAGCATGGGGTTGGAAACATCATGCTTTGGGGCTGTTTTTCTGCAAAGGGACCAGGACGACTGATCCGTGTAAAGGAAAGAATGAATGGGGCCATGTATCGTGAGATTTTGAGTGAAAACCTCCTTCCATCAGCAAGGGCATTGAAGATGAAACGTGGCTGGGTCTTTCAGCATGACAATGATCCCAAACACACCGCCCGGGCAACGAAGGAGTGGCTTCGTAAGAAGCATTTCAAGGTCCTGGAGTGGCCTAGCCAGTCTCCAGATCTCAACCCCATAGAAAATCTTTGGAGGGAGTTGAAAGTCTGTGTTGCCCAGCGACAGCCCCAAAACATCACTGCTCTAGAGGAGATCTGCATGGAGGAATGGGCCAAAATACCAGCAACAGTGTGTGAAGACTTACAGAAAACGTTTGACCTGTGTCATTGCCAACAAAGGGTATATAACAAAGTATTGAGAAACTTTTGTTATTGACCAAATACTTATTTTCCACCATAATTTGCAAATAAATTCATAAAAAATCCTACAATGTGATTTTCTGGATTTTTTTTTCTCATTTTGTCTGTCATAGTTGACGTGTACCTATGATGAAAATTACAGGCCTCTCTCATCTTTTTAAGTGGGAGAACTTGCACAATTGGTGGCTGACTAAATACTTTTTTCCCCCACTGTACATTGACCACTCCGTAACTCATGCATCAATAAGATTAAAAACTAACAGTTGTGAAGATGTCTATCAAACATTTTTGTATTTTCAAACCAGACAGTTATGATAATTGCTATTGGAATGGATGTTATTGGAACCTGCAGCAACGGTTAAAGATGTCTACAATCTGAAAACATCCAATCCTGCTCAGTATTGCCAACTTTGCCACTTTGCACTAGTCACTAGATCTAGCAACGATTTGGATCCCCCTCCCCCCTATTATTTTTGCCCCCTGAATGTGACTGAGTCAGGACAAATTCAGCAATATTTAAAGCATTCTCAGAGCGTTTGCCTCAGAGTTTTCTGAAATTTGCGACAGCCTATGTGATCATCACATGCCTTGAAAATCTGTCATCTAACAACTTCTAGTGACAAATTGTGTAGACAATAGCTTTTTCCCCCCAAAAAAAGTTGGCAACACCGGTCCTGTTGCGTGAAGGCAGAATGTTGATAATAACAGAACTTAGTGCATATTGTCAGTCCTACTGTTTTTGTGCCTAAAGTTTATGGTAAACCTAATATTGGAAGACTTCAATATGGAGTGTGAGGCATTACAGTAATGTATTGATGCTCTTGTGTGTGTATAGGGGTGAAGCCGTACGGTTGTACCATGTGTGACAAGAGGTTTTACCAGCGTTACCTCCTGGCAAGACACAGCCTCACTCATTTGGGTATGGGTCCGCTCACCGTACCCACCTTACCCAAGATCAGGCTACACCTGAACCCCAGTATACAGGGTTGGCAGAATTGATATGCTAGTCTTGCTCAAATAAATGTATACAGTGCCTTCAAAGTATTCATACCCCTTGAATTATTCCACATTTTGTGTAACAGCCTGAATTCAAAATGTATAGATTTTTTTTTTCTTCTTCTTGCCCATCTACACATAATACCCCATAATGACAAAGTGAAAACATGTTTGTAGAAATGTATGCACATTTATTCAAAATAAAATACAGAAATATCTCATTTACATAAGTATTCACAACCCTGAGTCAATACTTTGTAGAAGCACCTTTGGCAGCAATTACAGCTGTGAGTCTTTCTGGGCAAGTCTGAGCTTTCCACACCTGAATTGTGCAACATTTGTCCATTTATTATTTTAAAATTTTTATTGATCATTGCTAGACAATCATTTTCAGGTCTTGCCATAGATTTTTCAAGTATATTTAATTCAAAACTGTAACTCTGCCACTCAGGAAAATACACTTTCTTATTGGATTTCAGCTCCTGTGTAGATTTGGCCTTGTGTTTTTAGGTTATTGTCCTGCTGAAAAGTGAATTAATCTCCCAGTGTCTGGTGGAAAGGAGACTGAACCAAGTTTTCCTCTAGGATTTTGCCTGCGCTTAGCTCCATTCCGTTTCTTTTCTATCCTGAAAAACTCCAAGGCCCTTAACTATTACAAGCATACCCATAACATGATGCAGCCACCACTATGATTTGAAAATATGGAAAGTGGTACTCAGTAATATGTTTGGGGCAAATCCAATACAACACTTTGTATTCAGGACAGAAAGTGAATTGCTTTGCCACATTTATTGCAGTATTACTTTAGTGCCTTGTTGCAAACAGGATGCATTTTTTGGAGCATTTGTATTCTGTACAGGCTTCCTTTTCACTCTGTCAATTAGGTTAGTATTGTGGAGGACAATGTTGATCCGTCCTCAGTTTTCACCTATCACAGCCATTAAACTCTAACTGTTTTAAAGTCACCATTGGCCTCACGGTGAAATCCCTGAGCGGTTTCCTTCCTCTCCGGCAGCGGAGTTAGGAAGGACGCCTGTATCTTTGTTGTGACTGGGTGCATTGTTTGTTTATTTATGTATGTTTGTATGTATGTGTGGTATTGTATATTTTTATATACAGTACCAGTCAAAAGTACATACATACATAAACTCAGCAAAAAAAGAAACGTCCTCACTGTCAACTGCGTTTATTTTCTGTCAACTGCGTTTATTTTCAGCAAACTTAACGTGTAAATATTTGTATGAACATAATTCAACAACTGAGCCATAAACTGAACAAGTTCCACAGACATGTGACTAACAGAAATTAATTATAATATGTCCCTGAACAAAAGTAACAGTCAGTATCTGGTGTGGCCACCAGCTGCATTAAGTACTGCAGTGCATCTCCTCCTCATGGACTGCACCAGATTTGCCAGTTCTTGCTGTGAGATGTGACCCCACCAAGGCACCTGCAAGTTCCTGGACATTTCTGGGGGGAATGGCACTAGCCCTCACCCTCCGATCCAACAGGTCCCAGACGTGCTCAATGGGATTGAGATCCGGGCTCTTCGCTGGCCATGGCAGAACACTGACATTCCTGTCTTGCAGGAAATCACGCACAGAACGAGCAGTAAGGCTGGTGGCATTGTCATGCTGGAGGGTCATGTCAGGATGAGCCTGCAGGAAGTGTACCACATGAGGGAGGAGGATGTCTTCCCTGTAACGCACAGCGTTGAGATTGCCTGCAATGACAACAAGCTATGCCCGATGATGCTGTGACACACCGCCCCAGACCATGACGGACCCTCCACTTCCAAATCGATCCTGCTCCAGAGTACAGGCCTCGGTGTAACGCTCATTCCTTCGAAGATAAACGCGAATCCAACCATCACCCCTGGTGAGACAAAACCGCGACTCGTCAGTGAAGAGCACTTTTTGCCAGTCCTGTCTGGTCTGGCGACGGTGGGTTTGTGCCCATAGGCGATGTTGTTGCCAGTGATGTCTGGTGAGGACCTGCCTTACAACAGGCCTTCAAGCCCTCAGTCCAGCCTCTCTCAGCCTATTGCGGACAGTCTGAGCACTGATGGAGGGATTGTGCGTTCCTGGTGTAACTCGGGCAGTTGTTGTTGCCATCCTGTACCTGTCCCGCAGGTGTGATGCTTGGATGTACCGATCCTGTGCAGATGTTACACATAGTCTGCCACTGCGAGGACGATCAGCTGTCCGTCCTGTCTCCCTGTAGTGCTGTCTTAGGCGTCTTACAGTATGGACATTGCAATTTATTGTCCTTGCCACATCAGCAGTCCTCATGCCTCCTTGCAGCATGCCTAAGGCACGTTCACGCAGATGAGCAGGGACCCTGGGCATCTTTCTTTTGGTGTTTTTCAGAGTCAGTAGAAAGGCCTCTTTAGTGTCCTAAGTTTTCATAACTGTGACCTTAATTGCCTACCGTCTGTAAGCTGTTAGTGTCTTAACGACCGTCCCACAGGTGCATGTTCATTAATTGTTTATGGTTAATTGAACAAGCATGGGAAACCGTTTTTAAACCCTTTACAATGAAGATCTGTGAAGTTATTTGGATTTTTACGAATATCTTTGAAAGACCGGGTCCTGAAAAAGGGATGTTTCTTTTTTTGCTGAGTTTACATGCATGCATACATACATACATACATACATACATACATACATACATACATACATACATACATACATACATACATACATACATACATACATACATACATACATACATACATACATACATACATACATACATACATACAGTACCAGTCAAAAGTTTGGACACACATTCCAGGGTTTTTCTTTATTTTTACTATTTTCCTTGATGACAGCTTTGCACACTCTTGGCATTCTCTCAACCAGCTTCATCTGGAAAGCTTTTCCAACAGTCTTGAAGGAGTTCCCACATATGCTGAGCACTTGTTGGCTGCTTTTCCTTCACTCTGCGGTCCGACTCATCCCAAACCATCTCAATTGGGTTGAGGTCGGGGGATTGTGGAGGCCAGGTCATCTGATGCAGCACTCCATCACTCTCCTTCTTGGTAAAATAGCCCTTACACAGCCTGGAAGTGTGTTGGGTCATTGTCCTGTTGAAAAACCAATGATAGTCCCACTAAGCCCAAACCAGATGGGATGGCGTATCGCTGCAGAATGCTGTGTTAGCCATGCTGGTTAAGTGTGCCTTGAATTCTAAATAAATCACAGTGTCACCAACAAAGCACCCCCACACCATCACACCTCCTCCATGCTTTACGGTGGAAATACACATGCAGAGATCATCCGTTCACCCACACCGCGTCTCACAAAGACACGGCGTTTGGAACAAAAAATCTCCAATTTGGACTCCAGACCAAAGGACAAATTTCCACCGGTCTAATGTCCATTGCTCGTGTTTCTTGGCCCAAGCAGGTCTCTTCTTCTTATTGGTGTCCTTTAGTAGTAGTTTCTTTGCAGCAATTTCGACCATGAATGCCTGATTCACGCAGTCTCCTCTGAACAGTTGATGTTTGGATGTGTCTGTTACTTAAACTCTGTGAAGCATTTATTTGGGCTGCAATTTCTGAGGCTGGTAACTCTAATGAACTTATCCTCTGCAGCAGAGGTAACTCTGGGTCTTCCTTTCCTGTGGCGGTCCTCATGAGAGCCAGTTTCATCATAGCGCTTGATGGTTTTTGTGACTGCACTTGAAGAAGAAACTTTCAAAGTTTTTGAAATTTTCAGAATTGACTGACCTTCATGTCTTAAAGTAATGATGGACTGTCGTTTCTCTTTGCTTATTTGAGCTGTTCTTCTGTATACCAACCCTACCTTGTCACAACACAACTGATTTGCTCAAACACATTAAGAAGGAAAGAAATTCCACAAATTAACTTTTACAAGGCACACCTGTAAATTGAAATGCGTTCTAGGTGACTATCTCATGAAGCTGGTTGAGAGAATGCCAAGAGTGTGCAAAGCTGTCATCAAGGCAAAGGGTGGCTAATTTGAAGAATCTCAAATATAAAATATATTTTGATTTAACACTTTTTTTGGTTACTACATTAATATGCCATTTAGCAGATGCTTTTATCCAAAGCGACTTAGTCATGCGTGCATACATTTTTGTGTATGGGTGGTCCCGGGGATCGAACCCACTACCTTGGCGTTACAAGCGCCGTGCTCTACCAGCTGAGCTACAGAGGACCATGTACATGATTCCATATGTGGTATTTCATAGTTTTGATGTCTTCACTATTAATCTACAATGTAGAAAATAGTACAAAATTATGAAAAACCCTGGAATGAGTAGGTGTCAACGTTTGACTGGTACTGTGTGTGTGTGTGTGTGTGTGTGTATATATGTAACGCTAAGGTAGTGGGTTCGATATATATATATATATATACTGCTCAAAAAAATAAAGGGAACACTTAAACAACACATCCTAGATCTGAATGAATGAAATAATCTTATTAAATACTTTTTTTCTTTACATAGTTGAATGTGCTGACAACAAAATCACACAAATTATCAATGGAAATCAAATGTATAAACCCATGGAGGTCTGGATTTGGAGTCACCCTCAAAATTAAAGTGGAAAACCACACTACAGGCTGATCCAACTTTGATGTAATGTCCTTAAAACAAGTCAAAATGAGGCTCAGTAGTGTGTGTGTGGCCTTCACGTGCCTGTATGACCTCCCTACAACGCCTGGGCATGCTCCTGATGAGGTGGCGGATGGTCTCCAGAGGGATCTCCTCCCAGACCTGGACTAAAGCATCCGCCAACTCCTGGACAGTCTGTGGTGCAACGTGACGTTGGTGGATGGAGCGAGACATGATGTCCCAGATGTGCTCAATTGGATTCAGGTCTGGGGAACGGGCGGGCCAGTCCATAGCATCAATGCCTTCCTCTTGCAGGAACTGCTGACACACTCCAGCCACATGAGGTCTAGCATTGTCTTGCATCCGCACCAGCATATGGTCTCACAAGGGGTCTGAGGATCTCATCTCGGTACCTAATGGCAGTCAGGCTACCTCTGGTGAGCACATGGAGGGCTGTGCGGCCCCCCAAAGAAATGCCACCCCACACCATGACTGACCCACCGCCAAACCGGTCATGCTGGAGGATGTTGCAGGCAGCAGAACGTTCTCCACGGCGTCTCCAGACTCTGTCACGTCTGTCACATGTGCTCAGTGTGAACCTGCTTTCATCTGTGAAGAGCACAGGGCGCCAGTGGCGAATTTGCCAATCTTGGTGTTCTCTGGCAAATGTCAAACGTCTTGCACGGTGTTGGGCTGTAAGCACAACCCCCACCTGTGGACGTCGGGCCCTCATACCACCCTCATGGAGTCTGTTTCTGACCGTTTGAGCAGACACATGCACATTTGTGGCCTGCTGGAGGTCATTTTGCAGGGCTCTGGCAGTGGTCCTCCTGCTCCTCCTTGCACAAAGGCGGAGGTAGCGGTCCTGCTGCTGGGTTGTTGCCCTCCTACGGCCTCCTCCACGTCTCCTGATGTACTGGCCTGTCTCCTGGTAGCGCCTCCATGCTCTGGACACTACGCTGACAGACACAGCAAACCTTCTTGCCACAGCTCGCATTGATGTGCCATCCTGGATGAGCTGCACTACCTGAGCCACTACCTGTAGACTCCGTCTCATGCTACCACTAGAGTGAAAGCACCGCCAGCATTCAAAAGTGACCAAAACCTCAGCCAGGAAGCATAGGAACTGAGAAGTGGTCTGTGGTCACCACCTGCAGAACCACTTCTTTATTGGGGGTGTCTTGCTAATTGCCTATAATTTCCACCTGTTGTCTATTCCATTTGCACAACAGCATGTGACATTTATTGTCAATCAGTGTTGCTTCCTAAGTGGACAGTTTGATTTCACAGAAGTGTGATTGACTTGGAGTTACATTGTTGTTTAAGTGTTCCCTTTATTTTTTTGAGCAGTGTATATATCTACCAATAGGTGCCCTTCTTTGCGAAGCATTGGAAAACCTCCCTGGTCTTTGTGGTTGAATCTGTTTTGAAATTCACTGCTCGGCTGGGGGGCCTTACAATTATCTGTATGTGTGGGGTACAGAGATGAGGTAGTCATTCAAAGATCATGTTAAACACTATTACATTTAAGTCATTTAGCAGATGCTCTTATCCAGAGCGACCTACAAATTGCATGCAACTTATGTGACTTAAGCAAATTGTTACTCCTGAACTTATTTAGGCTTGATATAACAAAGGGTTAAATACTTAGTGACTCAAGACATTTCAACTTAATTTTTAATTTGTAGAAGCTTTAAAAAAAAAAACATTGAGGTATTGTGTGTAGGCCGGTGATGACACATTTCAATTTAATCCATTTTAAATTCAGGCTGCAACACATCAAAATGTGGAGAAAGTCAAGGTGTGTGAATACTTTCTGAATGCACTGTATGTGAAATATGTTCTTTACATGTTAGGTTTGATACCCCAAAAAGTAAATCATGTAATTTCACTTAAGGATGGGAAAGGCTAGTTTTACTACCAGATTACATCCGCTCATGAGATGTGTGGTGGATCTAAGCATTTAAAAAAAGGTATAAATCTTAATTGTCAAAAACATTATGACACTGAACACTCAGGAACTCATGCCTCCTAAGTTTCAAATTGGAATAACTCCCAGTTGTGGAGATGTCTTCCAAAATTGTGTGTGTATTTTAAACCAGACAGTTATGATGTGTTAGTGTAATGGCTGTTATTGGAAGCTGCAGAAACGGTTAAAGATGTCTACAATCTGAAAACACCTAATCCTGCTCAGTGTTGCCAACTTGGCGACGTTGCACTAGTCATTAGATCTTATTGAGTCCCCCTCTCATTTTCCCCCTAAAAGTGACTAAGGTAAATTCAGCATTATTTAAGGATTTCTCCATTTTCTTATTTTTTATCTGAGTTTTTCAAAATTAAGTGACTTGCCTGCAGTGATTTGGCCTAGTCAGAACAGCAGCTTACACACTCACTGTGCTGATGATGATCACATGCATTACAAATGTGTGTTGTGACGTTATCATGGAAATCAATTGTCTACTTTATGTACAATTTTAGTGACATTGTGCTACCAATAGCTGGTTTCTTACCTCACGAAAAGTTGGCACCACCAGTCCTGTTGCGTAAAGGCAAAATGTTGATAACAGCACTTGGTGCATATTGTCTGTTGTGCTCTATTTGTCTGAACTTTATCGTAAACCTAATAGTGAAAGACTAACAAGAGGCACAAAGTAACGTATTGATGCCCTTGTGTGTGTATAGGGGTGAAGCCATATGGTTGCACCATGTGTGACAAGAGGTTTTACCAGCGATACCACCTCTCAAGACACAGCCTCACTCATTTGGGTAGGGGTCCGCTCACCGTACCCACTGTACCCAAGATCAGGCCACACATCAACCCTTGTATACAGGGTTAGCAGGATGTATATGCTAGTCATCATGCACAAAGAAATATAGGTGAAATATATATTGTTTTCAAGTTAGGTTTTCCAGAAACGTTTGGATGAGAAGGGATAGTTTTACTGTTAGATTACATCATCAGCTCATGTGATGTGTTGTGGTTGTGGATTAAAACATTGAAAAATACATTTTAAAAAATTGTTGGAGAAAACATCTCCCTGATTCTTCCATCTGAATCCCTTGTAAGTTATTGCATGAAATGAAATTAGTGGTAAAATCAGTTTAGCATAAATGGATATACTGTACTTCAACTTCCTATTGGACGTAAATTAGTGCGAGGCACAAAAATAATATCTCAATGATTTGTGCATTTAGGTGTGAAACCTTACGCTTGCACCATGTGTGACATGAGGTTTGTTCAGCGCTACCACCTGACAAGACACAGCCTCACTCATACGGGTACAGTCCGCTCACCGTACCCATCACACATATACAAGCTAGTAAAGGATGTTAGTAATGGATTTTTACAAACGTAACAAAGGACTGCTAGAAAATAACAATTTCTCATCTACATAGTTTTGTAATGATAAATTAGTAATTTGTTGATTTTAAGTTTAAAACACTGCAGCAACACAAATTAATTAATTAATAATACATTCTAGTACAAGTTCCATTTCATTTTCTACCTCTAAAATTGTTTAAAGCTAGACCCCTAAAGATCTTCAGCTAATTGCTAATTTAGCTATCATTTGGATGTTGAGGTAACAAAAACAATTTATTAGAAGAATTAATCTATTCCGAACATGACTTGGTCAGGCACTTCCATAAGTAAAACAATATCATATTGTAGGCTTGTTGTGAGAAATTGTCTGCAGCTAAGTAGCTAGTGCTATGATCGTTTAGTGAAGAATTGAGTACAATTTGAAACTACAACTATTCTTTGCATTGTCTAATTATTATTTTATCTAGCTAGTTATTTTTGTGGTGGGATTATGCGTTCTGCGAAGGCTTTATTGACACACAATTACAGATTTTGTTCTTAGTACTGTTATTCAGTGCTTAGTTCACAAGTTGTTCACAATTGCATGTGTTGATTGTTCTTAATTAGCTACTAGTGTTTTTTATGATGAAACAAAAAAAAGTAGTCTTCATTAGAGCTGATAAAACAGGTTAGATTGCCACATCTTCTCATCCTTGTGATCAATAGCCCCCATCTTCAGGGTCCACATCGTGATATGACACATAAAGCACTCTTACTGTAATTGTTACATGCTTATGGTAGCAAACAATTCTCACAATAGTATTTGTAGTGCTAACTTGAGCTCTTCAATTTTGTATGTGTTGTACTCTTTTGGAGAAAGAGAGCTAATGCATTGCTCTGTGTGTATAGGGGTGAAGCCGTATGCTTGTTCCATGTGTGACATGAGGTTTATTCAGCGTAACCACCTGGAGAGACACAGCCACACTCATACGGGTATGCCCCCATTTACCGTACCCTTATCCCCAAAAAGGCTATTTTAATAAAAACAAATATGACCACAACAAACTCGAGTTTGGATTGTCAAGTCATTTGATGAGATGTTGAACCAGCCTCAAACTATCAAGTAAAACTTTTCAGGGGCATCGAGTTGGTTTGATTTAAAAAGAAATCAGATTCCACTTTTTATCTACACATAATGAGTTGATGACAAGACATCTTAAAATGTTACCAGAAGTTTAGTTCCTTATCATCCTTAATTCCTGTCCAGAAATGGGCTCATATTCAGTAGTTTGTCTTAGTTTTAATGTCATAAGAACTAAAGAAACAGTTTCCCATCACTTTAACAAACATTTGTAGATGGTTCTGGTAACAAGTAGACTTTAACCCAGTAAGAGTAAATCATGTACAGTTTGTTGTGGTTCGACTCTGTGGATTTGATGTGATGAATCTGTTTGTGTGCTCTTTTAGGGGAGAAGCCATTTGCTTGTGACATGTGTGACATGAGGTTTATCCAGCGTTACCATCTGGAGAGACACAAGCGTGTCCACAGCGGAGAGAAGCCTTATCAGTGTGAGCGATGTCAGCAGGTAAAATAACTTAGACACGAAAGAGGCACACACATACCCAGGCAGGTGCACATACACACGGCCACCTGCATTGGAGAGATGCCATCTCAGTGTGAGCAGTGCCAGCACGTAAAATAACGTGCCTTGCGTGCTGGCACTGAGGAACACATGCACACGAAGCGAGGAGACGCGCATGGACATGCCCTCTTGCGTCACAAAACATCTGCCGCAGGGTTAGCAGTGACAGCACATAAAGGGAATGGTGTCACAGAGGCACATGTACACGCTGATACAGGCACGTAGCAAAGACATGCCCTACCAGGTTAGAAAATATATATTTTTTAGGGTGAGCAGTGCCAGCACGTAAGAGAACGTATTACATTGGTGATGCACATACACACACAGTGACGCACACAAATACAAACATATACAGATGCCTGCCCACATTAAAAATAAGTATTCTCCTTATGAGCAGTGCCAGCAGGTAAGAGAATGTGTGGACATACTCTGACATGCACACACGTTGGTAGCCATGAAGCGCATTGAAAGGCTGGTCATGGCTCACATCAACACCATCATCCCGGAAACCCTAGACCCACTCCAATTCGCACACCGCCCCAACAGATCCACAGATGTCTCAATCACACTCCACACTGCCCTTTCCCACCTGGACAAAAGGAACACCTATGTGAGAATGCTGTTCATTGACTACAGCTCAGCGTTCAACACAATAGTGCCCACAAAGCTCATCACTAAGCTAAGGACCCTGGGACTAAACACCTCCCTCTGCAACTGGATCCTGGACTTCCTGACGGGCCGCCCCCAGGTGGTAAGGGTAGGCAACAACACATCTGCCACGCTGATCCTCAACACTGGGGCCCCTCAGGGGTGCATGCTTAGTCCCCTCCTGTGCTCCATGTTCACCCATGACTGCGTGGCCAAGCACGACTCCAACACCATCATTAAGTTTGCTGACGACACAACAGTGGTAGGCCTGATCACCGACAACGATGAGAAAGCCTATAGGGAGGAGGTCAGAGACCTGGCAGTGTGGTGCCAGGACAACAACCTCTCACTCAACGTGAGCAAGACAAAGGAGCTGATTGTGGACTACAGGAAAAGGATGGCTGAACACGCCCCCATTCACATCGACGGGCTGTAGTGGAGCGGGTTGAGAGTTTTTCAAGTTCCTTGGTGTCCACATCACCAACAAACTATCATGGTCCAAACACACCAAGACAGTCGTGAAGAGAGCACGACAACGCCTTTTCCCACTCAGGAGACTGAAAAGATTTGGCATGGGTCCCCAGATCCTCAAAAAGTTATACAGCTGCACCATCGAGAGCATCCTGACCGGTTGCATCACTGCCTGGTATGGCAACTGCTCGGCATCCGACCGTAAGGCGCTACAGAGGGTAGTGTGTACGGCCCAGTATATCACTGGGGCCAAGCTTCCTGCCATCCAGGACCTATATACCAGGTGGTGTCAGAGGAAGGCCCAAAAAATTGTCAGACTCCAGTCACCCAAGTCATAGACTGTTCTCTCTGCTACCGCACGGCAAGTGGTACCGGAGCGCCAAGTCTAGGTCCAAAAGGCTCCTTAACCGCTTCAAATGGCCAACCGGACTATTTGCATTGACCCCCACATGTACAAATTACCTCGACTAACCTGTACTCCCGCACATTGACTCAGTACCGGTACCCCCTGTATATAGCCTCGTTATTATTTTGTTACTTTTGTTTAAATTTTTTACTTTAGTTTATTTAGTAAATATTTTCTTAACCAACAATGCAGTTTTAAGAGAATAGAGTTAAGGGCTTGTAAGTAAGCATTTCACGGTAAGGTCTACACCTGTTGTCTTCGGCGCATGTGGCAATTTATTTGGGATTTGACCCACATGCACCACAAAGGCCCATTGACCAGACAGACACAGTGGTCTTAATTGTATTGGGCATGTGTCCACACTCATCTGTTTAAATGAATGCTGCATAAATCCTCCATGTATGTGTTGTAGAACTTCTCACGGACAGACCGGCTGCTGCGACATCGGCGGCTGTGCCAGGGCCGGGGCGTGGCCAAGGTAGAGAACCAGCCGTGCTGCGAGCCCCGCCCTTACTCCCAGGAGCCCCCGCCCGCTCCACCCACCTGGAGCCCCCTTCACCCCCCCCCTGGTCGGCTGGCTGTCTGACTGACATTCCCCCCATCCCCATCCTCCCTCCACACATACACACGCGACCACCATCTCCCAGAGAGACAAGACAGGCCACCGGGTCTTTGTCACTCAACCCTGCGCTCAGTGGCACCACACTCTGGCAAAGACTGATCCTGCAACTCCAGTCCTGAGGTTACTATGACAGCGGGACAGATGTTTTTGTCTTCTTTTGAGAGCGAGTTTCCTTCAATAGTTGGTCTCTTTTGTACTTAATCTATTTTTTGAAAGTTATGTTTTTTTATTATTTAGATTTATCGTTTGTGCTTTTGGTGGTACACTCTGGTAGGGGGGGCATTACACAATGGCAATGATGAACTGGGATGGATATACATACATGCATACATACAACACATGACGTTTGTAGAAAATGTAGTTTGTGAAAGGAAAAAAAAGGAGTTGTCAGACAATGGTACAGGTGTCAGAGCTATAAAACTAAAAAGGGGTTCATAAAGTTAATGATTTTATGACGGTATAGGCAAGTGGAGGATGTCCTAAAAGGTCAAAGATGAAGTGTCAGGGTAGAGGACGTTGTGGTTCTTGTTGGATAGAGTTGCTGATGACTCAGGAAGTGGCAGAGGCAGGATGACAGCGTTAGCAAGTTCCATTACACCCTTTAACGGTGTATTATGTATGTACTGAGGTCTATGGGAGCAGGTCGCAGGCTCTCTTTTACAGTCAGTTCTCATTCAGATGTACGTGGAAAACAACGGCACAAGATGGCAGCTTCAGCAAGTCCCATTACTTTGTGTTTGTACAGA